CCTAATCCTAGGGCAGGACACAGAGTGATGTCTTAAGAGACTTGAAACGTCCTGAATGCTAAGAGAGTGGACACTATACGCATCTCTGGGGAATGCTGTCTCTAATAAATAACCAGGGGCTGCGACAAAGAAGGCATGCTACCTCAGTCTCATAAGATGACAGCTTTTAACCGAGTGGACCTGGAATACACCCACTCTGCCTGTGTCCTGTGTGGGCAGAAACAACTGGACGCAGACAGTCCTGCAAACAGCCAGGCCCTATTGCATGAAAGTCTTTCTAGATGACGACTAGCACCTTGAATCGCACCTGGAAGGCACTTGCCAACCACTGCAGCTTGCCCAGCAGCTGTGACACATGGGCAGAGCATTATTGCTCATTCTGCTGCAGTTTGGACCAGCTATAGCTTCCAGATAGTCTTCAAGGGCAGCCCCATGTACAGCACCTTGCAATAGTTCAATCGCAACATGGCTAGGTTTCCAGTTGATGAAATTATTCAAGTTCCCATATGAAGATGCACAGTGCAAACTTACTCTTTTCTCTAGCTGCTACTGTCCTACATTGTGGTGGAGAGGGGTCTTTACTCTACTGAAGTTCTGCCTGTTCTAAGGCATGTGAAAGGACAGAAGCATCCAATATGGTGTCTATTTTCCAAGGCCTTCTATAGTCCATTTTATGGAACATTTTTAGGAAATGACTGACAAACTAAAGCAGTACTGGAAAAGAAATTCAGCAGCAAAATTAGGATAGGTGTCAGTGAAGTTTGAGCAATTTCTGTTTTTGTGACAGTATTTCAACCTAACTGCAGTACAGGTAGTCCTCAACTTATGACCACAAGTCATGGGACTTCTGTCACTAAGTGATGCAGTCATTAAGTGAGTCATGCCCGATTCTACAAACTTTTTTGCTGCAGTCATTGAGCAAATCACAGAGTTAAGCAAATCCAACATTCCCCATTGACTTTGCTTGTGGGAAGCCCCTTGGAAAGGTTGCAGTTGGTGATCATGTGACCCTGGGATGCTGCAGTCATCATAAATGTATGCTGGCTGCCAAGTGCCTAAATTTTGATCACATGACTGCAGGGATGCTGCAACAGTCATATGTGCAAGGATCAGTGATAAGTTACTTTTTTCAGTGCTGTCGTAACTTTAAACGGTCATTAAACAAATGGCCGTAAGTTGAGAACTACCTGTAAGCTGATTTTAAAATACAGTATTGTTCATCTAATCTAAAAGTACACAAATCGTCTGAGTTCAGAATGATTATTTTGAGAGATCCAAGGTCAGGACAGTTGTGCATCTCATTTAGAGTTGTTCTTCTACAATGGAAATCTGTCAGGCCTAGCCCAAAGAACTCCTGGAGACCATGCAGGTTCAATCAGCAAGGTTTATTAGCCAGCACCTGTTTACAGAAATCTTCTCAGACTGACCACTAGCTCCCAGGCACAGCTATTCCCTATCTTCTGGAATGTTTAGGGATGTGCCAGTTTCCTCCGCTTATCTCCAG